TACCGAAGGATGGATGCTTCGAACGTTTTCTCCTTCCAAATCAGGTGAGGAATACATGCACACTGAATCTCGTAGCGCAAACTGTTCCACCAAAATACGGCTGGACAGGTATTGTCTGAGGAAAGTGTTCAACTATGACATTCAAAAACAGGTTAGCGATTCTTAAATTTTATGGTAACTTTTAGTTATACTCGAGGAATCCCGTATGAATAGCAGATACCAGTCGCTGTACGGTCCCTTCTTATCACGTGACATGTGCGTGAGTATTAACATTGCGGCTCGTAAAAAATTTGAAGTGTCGCGAGTGGGTCGTTCGCCGAGTATGCAGAGAGTACGCAAATTAATCTGGCTCAAATAAACGGCACTCATTGGAATGGCTTTTTTTTTCCTTAAGGTGAATATAACAATTTGGATAAGGAAGAATCACCAATTACAGAGAAATTCAATGAAATCTTCTGACTGCCGTACGAATAGCAAATACAAGTAGCTGTACGGGTGCCGTACGAATAGCCGCTGCGCAAAAATAAATACGGTAGCGAGTGTCTAAAAACACTAAGACTTAAGGCCTAAGACTCCCTCCGAATCTCAAAAACAAGTCAAAACTCACCAAAAAACAACACCCGGCGCGGTAAGAGTAATCACACTAATGGCCGCCGCACAAAAACACTCAACATTTTGCTAGTGGAACCCAGTCTACACGCCAAGTAGAAACCACGTGACAAACGCTTTGCTCTCGTGGATAAATAAATAAATAAATTTCGCTGGCGTTGACAAAGTGTGGGAAATCCCACACAAAAATCGCCTGGAGCCTTTAATCATTCGTTTATATCGATTGCTGGCGAACTCACAATATCACGTAGGTTTGTGAAGACTCTCCCTGAATGGAATCGCTAAAAAAGAACCATAAGTATTTTTCTTACAATGGAAAATCGTTTGACCTTCTACCTCTCGAAAATAACGAACTTGACACGCTGCAAGCCACTGTAAAACGGCCTTAGACGGCGGATGTTCGAAACCCAGTTGGGGGAGGGTGGGATAGTCCTTTCTCAATTATGCTAGCATATTTTTGGCATTATTTGGTTAAACAAGCATTTTTTCACACTTTTTCTGTAAAAGGAATTGCTAGCATTGTTTAGCATTTTGCACAACTTTGATCTAGATTTCAGCACTCGAAAGATTTTAAATGCTAAATTTTAGAATTCAAAAGCATTGTGAT